ATCGGGCAGATATCAGTATGTAGTTATACAACCCCAATTGGGACGTTGTGTAAAATGTAAATAAAACCAGAATACATTCATCTGCAAATCCTTTTCAACCTCAATTTACTACACTACAAAGTCAAGATTCTTTACAGAATTTAGGGATTCATCCTGTACGATCCATATGTCATCAAAAGATTCAGAGAATCTGGAGAAATCTCTGCACGTGCTCATTGGATGGCCGTGACCTTCAAATTAAAAACAGACATCAGTGTGTAAAGGATATTACCACACGGGCTCAGGAACACTTTGTCAGTTAAAGCAGTTCGTCGCTACATCAACACGTGCGAGTTAAAACTCTACCATGCAAAGCCACATATCAACGACACCCAGAAACGCCGCCGGCTTCTCTGGGCTCCTCTGAGACGGACTGACGCGAAGTGGAAAAGTGCGCTGTGGTCTGACGAGTCCACATTTCAATAGTTTTTGGACATTATGGACGTCGTGTCCTCCGGGCCAAAGAGGAAAAGGACCATCCGGACTGTTATCAGCGCAAAGTTGCAAAGCCAGCATCTGTGATGTGTGGGGGGGGTGTTAGTGCCCATGGCAGGGGGAACTTGCACATTATGCTGAAAGGTACATACAGGTTTTGGAGCAACACATGCTGCCATCCAAGCAACGTCTTTATCAGGGACGTCCCTGTTGATTTCAGCGAGACGATGCCGAGCCACATCCTGCACGGGTCACGGCAGCGTGGCTTCGTAGTAAAAGAGTGCGGGTCCCAGACCGCCTGCCTGCAGTCCAGACCTGTCTCCCATTGAAATGTGTGGCGCATTACGAACAACGGAGACCGTTGAGCAACTGAAGTTGTACATCAAGCAAGAATGAGAAAGAATTCCAGCTACAAAGCTTCAACAGTTGGTGTCCTCAGTTCCCAACGCTTACTGAGTGTTGTTAAAAGGAAAGGTGATGTAACACAGCGGTGAACACGCTGCTGTCCCAGCTGTTCAGAACGTGTTGCAGGCAACAAATTCAAAGTGAGTGAATATTTGCTAAAAACAATAAAGTTTATCAGTTTGATATTAAATGTCTTTGTGGTGCATTCAGTTGAACACAGGCTGAAAAGGATTTGCAAATCATTGTATTCTGTTTGTATTTAGGTTTTACACAACGTCCCAACTTCATTGGAACTGAGGTTGTATAAAATTTACCTGTTAAAGGTCCAGTTTGTAATATAAGATCCAGAACTATGTTTTCAGTGGTGTTTAAAGACCTTGCATAATGAACCGTTATGTTTTTTACCTTAGAATGAGACATTAATATCTACAGACACCGCGGGGCCTCTTACAGGAACAGACAAACTGCTCTACAGAGCACATTTCATCACTACGTTAAATATGTATGAAGAAGAAGTACAAGTAGTAGTATTAGTAGTAGTCTGTTTGTTAGAAGTAGGAGAGAAATTAAATGTGTTATTTAGCTCAGAGCGCTTGCAAAGGGAGGGGTGAGCGGTGACTGTCGGAATAATCAGAATCCTTTTTTCCTCCTTAAACTTTATTGCAAAAAGAGAAACAAAGTGTACATGGGACCTAAAGTAGTGTACAGATACTAAACGTAGACCTGAACCTTTAAAACACCTTAAAATGTGCTGAATAGCATGAAAGCAACCCGTAAATGTAAACCTTCATGTGGCTTTTACTGCGATTTGGTAGATAAAAGATTTTTTAGAAATCATTAACCATGAAGAAAACCAATTCAACTCCCTCTTGTACCTTTAAAAAGTACAAATCTGTCCCCAAATCTGCAGAGTTTCTGGATAAATCTGTCTTTTTAGGGGAGCTTTTCTTTGCAAGGTCTCTCAGTCCTTTCTGTGGTTGTCAGGTTGATCCACTACAGCCAGCTGACCACTGGTGTTCACTAACAACATCCAACATGCAAGTCAGACAGACACGAGCGTTTTTCCTTTTCCTTTAAACGCCGCGCTGTCGCGTGTTCGACGTCCTGCGACGAACAAAAAGCTGAAACGTTCAGAAAGTTGTTTCTAGTTAACTTCACCTGCGCCGTTGGAGGAGGAAGTGAGTCACTGGTGGACTTCAGGTCGTTATTGAGGGGGGCGCCGCTGGAGATCAATGTCGGGGGGGGGGTCGCGGGGTCACATGATGTCGGGGTCTGCATGAGGGGCGGAGCCACAACACCTGAGCTGCTCCCACTCACATGACTCATCTGGGACAGAGAGAGTTCATACGAAACCATGTTCTGTATTTATAAACCAGCAGGTTGTTTTCTTTTTCACACGCCGACTCATCCAGATCATCTTTAAAACCTGAACCTTAAGAGAAACTAACACGGGATTAGAAAACCAGGCCTTCATAAAAACAAACGTTTGTGCTTTAACGCTTGTGAGGACCCACCCTGGCTTAATACAGTCCTAAAACCTTAAACGTGGTTCCGACACTGACCCTAAACCAAGTCTGAACCCTCAAACAGCTCGTTAAAGCGGCGAGAACCTCGTTACCCCAAAGGTCTAACCCGGTTCTCACAAAGACAGACAAACAGCAAACACACACCTGGCTTCCTTGTGAGTTGCGTCTGGACGAGATCCAGGACGCAGCTTTGAGCCGTCCGAGCTCCAACAGGACCGGACCCCGAGCACACTGCAGAACACACACACACACACACACACACACACACACACACACACATTACACAAAGAGTGAAATATTTCAGGCCTTTTTTGGGTTTTAATCTTGATGATTACGGCTTACAGCTCATGGAAATCAAAACTCCAGTATCTCAAAATGTATTAGAATTTCAGAATAAAGCTCTAATCAGCTGATTAACACCTGCAAAGGTTTCCTGAGCCTTTAATCTCTCAGTGTGGTTCTGGTGCCCACAGAAATTTTCCACGATATTGCACCTGTATTTACGTTTTGCAAAATCGAAAAATATTCTTGTCAAGCGGGGATGATTTGGTCCGAATCTGCCCCCTACTGGATAAAGGCAAGTTTATTTGTGTAACACATTTCAACAGCAAGGTAATTCAAAGTGCTTTACATCAAACATAAAATCAACAGGGAAATATAGAAAAGTTTAAAAGCAACATAGGGAAATTGAAAAAACACACATTAAAATATAATAACAGTTACAGTGCAGTTTACAATCAGGGTTAAAAGAGTTAAATGGAAAATAAAAACAGGCTGAGGGGTTGAGCAAATAATTGAGTTACAATTATTTTGAAAAGAGATCATCCTCTAGATCAGTGGTTGGCAATAGGCGGCCTACGGGCCAGAACCGGCCCGCCAGCATTAATATCTGGCCCGCGGCCAGATTGCTTTGATAACAGAAAAATAAAAAATAAATAAATTGATAGCAGCTTCCTCTTAAGTGATTGTGCCTTCAAAATAAAAGCGTGAGAACGTTTCTTTGAAAAGTTCTGAAGGACATTCACAAGAGACTCTGGCTTACTTGACACACTTCTGAAAAAGCCGTCAGTAAACGTGTGACAGGATTCCCCTGAATCTCCTCAGGGAAAAGAAAATAAGCATCCACAGGTTTTTGAATTATGATCAAACGCCGGGACGCACACACACACACACACACACTGCAGCACATGCTTTATTGTGAGCATGTGCAAAATCTTACAACTTTCCTAACGGGAGTCCCGCACAGAACCGACTGAGCTAAGCGTGCACACGAGTATACATTTGAAATAACTGGACTTTGTTCTGTCCCGCCATGTAAAGACTTATTTGCCGACCCCTGCTCTACATACAGATAAAAGTACAAGACAAGTATGTGAAAAACGACCCTGTTTCCTGTCTATCTGCCAACTATCAAATAAAAAGGAAACATTCTGTGTGTGTGTTACCTTCAGGATGGCAGCGACAGCTTCCTGGGAGGCGTGTTTCGTGTCGTCTCCGTTGACTGACAGAATCTGATCTCCCCTGCATCAGGCGACCGTCCAGCTCTGCAGCGCCCCCTCGGACCACCTCAGAGATAAACACGCCGCTGCCACTCCTGAAACACACACACACACTCTCTGAGCTACATGATGGTAACAACAGAGGTAAAACACAAAGTGTCTGTGTTGTGTTTTTTAAGGCGGACCTCTTCCCGACGATGCTGAGTCCCAGCCCTCTGCCGCTCTTCTTCTGCAGCTCCACCTTAAAGACGTCCAGGTTCTCCTCGTCTCTGTACTGAGCCTCGTCCCTCAGCACCGTCATGCGAACCATCGCTGGCGTCTGACGCAGCGCGGCGATTGCTTCCTCGTGGGACGCACCGCGGAGGTCCACCCCGTTCACCTGCACTCACACATGAAAACATTAAAGGTTTGGTGGTATGGTATTCTGCTCATTTTCAGGTTCAAAAAGCTCTTTTCACCGGTAAACGGCTCGGGTTCAGCCGTACGTGTTGCCGACCGGCTCGGCAACACGGACTGGAGCGAGAGTTTCAGAGCGGTGAGTTATTAATCTGTATCCATAAAGTTTTAACTGAGCTCTGTCTCTACATCACAGGAACAACTTTCTGTCCACTGACTGCCTGGAGGGTAGCTAGTGTTTGGAAGGGAGAGGAGAGCTGTGTGCTGCAGCTCGCTGTTTCTGAGGGCGTGTCGGAGTCGCCCGCTCGGCGAGCGTTACATGAGGCGCGTTTAGCTTGAAAGGGAAGCGGCTGGACTACAAACGAGCTGTTTTCAGTTCAGAGCAGAGTTTTCTGTGGGAGATGGGAACTCACTTTGGGCTTTTTCACTCTGCAAACCTGTTACATGCACAAAAAAGATATTTAACTCAGTAAAGGAGAGGGGAAAAGCAGAATACCACCTCTTTAACATCCTCACTTCGTCCTCTGTCTGACTCAGGTGTCACGCTTGATTTCAGACTCAATTCTGCAAAAACATCCGGTTGTTTTTCTGCCACCTGGTGAGTTTTAGAAACTCTGGATCGATCTTTAGACTCTCTGCTGCAGTCACTTTTTAAAACATCTCTACAGCCTTCATGGCCTCAAAATCTCTGTGTTCCTCCATCCTTAACATTTTGTTCTTTCTACCTGATCAACATTTTTATGCCATTTTTACACCTGCTGATGTTGCTTAACAAACATCATGTATCATCAGTATTTTTCCAGCAGAGGGAGATGTTGTTTATATTTTCCATTTGTCATAATACTGCAGTATTAGACATTAGTACTAACAGTAATATGAGTAGGAAGAGCTAAAATAGCAGTACTAGTACACAATATGCCCTGTTTAATACTCAGGATCAAAAGTACAGCGGTTACAGCAGTATTACTGTTTCTATATAACACATTAGTGTATAAAGAAGTAGTAGTTATAGTATATATACTAGTAATGACAGTTTAAGCAGTGACGGTGTTGACAATAATAATTAAGGTCAAGGTGACTGTTTATATATGTATTTATATTACTAGTACTCCCAGTACTGCAGTATTGTGTGGGTACCTCAAGTATCTGGTCTCCTGCCCACAGTCGTCCGTCTCTGGCTGCAGCTCCTTCTTCATAAACCTCATGGATCACTATGGCGTCCTGGTAGAGAGACATAGAGAAACAATGAAAGAGAGAGAGAGAGATCATTTCAGCTCTTCCAGCTGGTTACTGTGTGTGTTTTACTGATCAGCAGAAACTGATACCGAGGCGAAGCTGCTGATGAAGCTAGAGACACCTGCAGGACCTCGTACCATCCTGGTGTCGGTTCACAAAAATCTGCTCTCAATTAAAACACATTTATCTCCAACATGTTGTTTTCCATTTTTAACTGGTGTGTGCGTTACCAGCTGTGTGTCTCTTCCTCCCACTATACTGAGTCCGAGTCCTGATCGACCTTTACAGATCTCCAGCAGCGTCTCCTGGCCAGGAACCACCGCACAGCATGATGGGTCTGAGGAGAAGGAGGGGGAGGAAGGGGAAGATTAGATCAGACCAAGCAGGAACCTCCGGCTCTCAAGACTGAAGCCAGTCCCCCACTGTGACCATCCGCCACTGTGTCCCTGAGCAAGACACTTAACCCCTCGTTGCTCCAGAGGCGTGTGACCTCTGACACGTACAGCAATTGTAAGTTGCTCTGGATAAAAGCGTCAGATAAATCTAAAAAAGAAACAGTTTTACTACGTAGCTACTTAATCATAGAAGCACAAAAAGCACTAATCACCACATCAACAACATCTAAACATGTCGGCAAAGTCCGGCGGGTAAAACGCTCTTATTCTGAAATGCTCCCTGTGGTAGCTGCTAGACGCACCCGTCAAGACGAGGAACGAAAGCGAGCCACGGAGAGCTTTGAAGAATGTAGTAGAAACACAAAGGACAATTAAAACAAGTCGTTAACGTGGGGCAGGCTGCGCTGCTGAAACGCTTCTGAGAGGCTTCCAGAGGAAGTTGACGGCGTAAATAACCCGCTGCGCACACGCAGCCAACGCCCCTCCCTCAGAATTCCCATGATGCATGAGGGTGAAGGGAGTTTTGTTAAAATGTGCTAATAAGTTTGCCATTTGTTTGAAATACAAATATTACTTAGTCTCCTTAGAATCCAGTGTTTATGCTGGTAGTTGTCCTTCTTGTGGTCGTTTACCGTTGAAACCATGAATGAAGGGAACGTTTCATTTGATAAGAGCTGCTAAATTCTCCAGGTACAGCGTATCGTCATAAACTATTGTTGTTTGTCCGTGTCCACTACAATCAACTGAGCTAAACTTCATAGTCCAGGTAGCGGGCCCCCTACCAGTGTGGGCCCTGGGTCGGCCACCCCCATGCACCCACGCTACCTCCGCTTATGGCGGGGCTACAAGCTGATTGACAAGTCTCTATGGCGACCTGTCAATCAGGATAGAGGCGACTTGTATCCGCTGCTCTGTGAACATTTAACCGGCGCCGCTGAAAAAGCTCATCAGGAGTCGGACGCTCATTCTGTTTAAAGCCCGTTTGTCGTTAGCCAAAATTAGCATCCCGGCTAATATCACTGCTAACGTGAATTACAGATGCACCTTGCTAACCAAGCTAGCTAGCTCCACCCTCTCAATTAAATATGGTCACGTCTTGTTCCAAAAAACACAACATGACAATGGCTATTTGTCATTACACAGCACAAGGCTGCATAATGAAACGCAGTTTGTAGTTCCTTCACGATACGCACAACATATAATATAAAATATGGTATCATATAAAATAAAACAATATATGCAGTTATTTATATACAACATATTCTATCACATATCCACCCAGAATATTCCACAGTGCATTTTTTAAATTTGCTTCTGGGGTGAATGTAAAGAGCAGCAACCAGATGATGATATGAAAGTTTCATCTTCACAATAAGCAGTCTGAACAGAGTCCGTCTTCACTGTGTTTGAGCACCGAGTACCATCTGATGCTAAAACCCAGAGTCCACCTCGTCTCATCTCGCCGGAGTCTTGCGCTGACAGCTCGGAACACGGACCGCCTGCAGAGTGCTTGACCCGGGGCAGGTCTCTGTAACGATGTGGACTCTGAATTCCGTTTTCTGGTCAAAATGAGTCCCGTTTTGTCCAGACCGGCTCTATAGGAGCAGAATTAAGTCCAAGCTGGGCCAGCATGGCTCCTCTCCTGGCTCTCTTTCCTCTCCTCTGAGCGATCGGTCACCTGGTCCGGTTGTTTGGGCCGGGTGGGTCGTGGTCTGGCCCCGTCTTCATCTTCCAATGACTGTATTTATGCCAGACACACGTTTTTGCCAATAAAACAGACAAACAACAAAAGTGTAGCGAAGTTTGAAGGAGCTACCGGCTGCTGCTTCTACAAGCGCTGTGGTGGAACAAGTACTGAGATCCTTTACTCCTGTAAAAGTTCTGTTAAAGAACAGAAAGCTGCTCTGGACTGCATGAAGAAAATATGCCCCGACTACGACCCAGTGCAGAGATCAGTCCAGGACATGGACTTGTAATAAGACGTTTAGTCCACAGACATTTTGTCCTCGCGTCGTCCAACGGTCCTAAGGGTCCCAGTCCGATACTACATATTAACTGTATATACTGTACTACATATTTATACTGTAGTTTTTACAACATACACTACTGCTTTATACAAACGGGAAATGGAGAAATGCTTGTGTTGTCAGATGTCAAACTGTGTACCTCTGTTGGCGGTCTGCAGGTCGGGGCTGATCAGAGGAGGAGATGCTGCTGTCGGTTTACTGGAGCTGCTGTGAGACCTGCAGGACTGGACACGCACAGATTAAAGTTAGTGATCAGCTCGGTGAAGCAGCAGACAGAAACTGAAAGAAACATTAAATAGTTCATGTTAGAAAATACTGACAGACCAGCAGCAGGTTCAGGCGAAACCATCTTTGTCAGGGTTTTAATCATAAATATTTCAAGCTCTGTGATGGTAAATTCAGCTATTCTGTTGTTACCTGCTGCTCCAGCGACGCCCTCGGAGCCAGAAACTCGTTTTCTGGAGACTCTGCAACGTTTGGCCTCTACAGGAAACACAAACACACAGCACACTAGTGGCGTGTACTACGAAAGGGAGGTAACTGGCTTATCCAGGTAACTTCAGGAGTAACTTTAACCGATTCACCTGTACAACGAAAGTTGGACAGGTGTTACCCGAGGTCTGTTGCCATGGCAATTTAAGCTGCATCTCTAAACTGCTCTGAGAAGGTTTTGTTGGTGGTTATCTCGAGGTTCCCCTGAACGTGGACTCCACACCACATCTGTACTCAGTGGTAATGATGAGAAGTATTAATACACACCGCTTCATAAAATATGTTTAGATTTCATCCTGATTTGTTCCACTGAGGCTGCAGCTGAAGTTCTGAACGCAACAGCATCCCGTTCACACAGCGAGCCCTGCAGCCTGGTGATTTAGAGAGGAATCTTAATTAGCTAATTAACGGACAGTTTCTTAGATGCAGCCCGTCTCTAAGGCTATAATTGAATTCTCCTGAGTGTTTTCACATATTTAGATATTTAGACTATTTTACGTGTCCAAAAAATAGGGAGCCAGGGTCAACCAAGAAAAAAAATCCAAGATGAAAGTGTGAAATTTACAGGAACAAAAATCAGAAAATCCCTGAAATTAAAGTCACATAAAAATCAAAAATCACTCTGTTGATCCACGGTGAAGTCTGAGATGCATGGAAGTGACTGTGGGCTAAACTCACGAGTATTTCCTCACTGCTGAATCTGATTGTGAAGTCTAATATAACTTTCCACTGCCTGCAGACGTGTGTGATGTTGCAGCCTTGCAAAGTGAAGTTTCTCTCATAAATGTGTGACTATAATCTCAGAATATTCTAGTTTTTTTACTTGTAGATTAATCTTGGAAATAAAATTCTCTCTCCGCTGGCTCCTTTTTTCTATTACAGTGGACCTCATGTGCAGCTGGACCTTTACATCTTCATCATATTACACATAAAAGAAGAGCCCATAAAATACAGAACAGAGATTTGATCTACAATCAGAACACTGGCAAGATAATCAGGCTACAGATTTACTCCATGCGAAGCCGACAAGCCTCCCTGACTCTGTCGGCTGCCACGATATTAGATTTAGCCATTAACGTGTCTTTACAGTCATAATTTCCTGAGACTACCAACGTGCATTCCTCTGGAGAAATACGGAGCATGCGCCGTTGCGACAAAACACGAACACGCCGCTTTTATGTGAACGTGCACCAACTCCAAATAAGTTAACACGGACTCTAACTGACCAGCATCTGATCCACCGTTTAACTCCAGCGTAGGCGGAGTTAAACTCTGAGTAGGTTGAACTCCCTTCGTAGTGCAGGCCACAGGTCGAGGAGAGTATTTGGAACGAACCACTAATGATTTCAATTTCACCAGCCGAGAACACGGGACAGATTTTAAAGACGTCAAAATGTCACTATCACACTAACCGAGGGCGTCACTTTGGGCTGGAAAGATTCTGAGCATTAAACACATAATTTCCTGCTTTCTGGTGAGGGAAAAGTCAGGAGACAATTCAAACTCTAAACCTCTAACAGAATCAGTGCAGCACTCAGATCTGTTTCTCCTGCAGATCAACTTTTCTCCTGTAATGTCATCCCTGCTGAGTCATGACTTAGTCTTCCCTCCTCTGCACATTTTTGCGTCATTTTATAATCAGTAGCTTGTTTGTTTTGTCGGTGAGGGCGTGGCTCTCTTTCTACTGCAAGATTACATCATGCCCAAACAAAATATTATCTGCTGGCCTACGTTACCGGAGAAATGTGTGTTTTATAATCAACATGTCTCTATTTCAGCTGTGTTTAAGTTTAGAACGTTGTGCCAGAGATCTTCACTGTGTGCATGAATGAGTTCGGTACCTTTTTGAAAGTGTCGGCCTCTCTCAGAGTCTTGGCGGCGCCGTTGCTGCTTCTGTTGTTGTTGTTCTGTTCCGCTTCGTCGCTCGTCTCGTCCTGTTCAGCAGATCACTCGTTAGTTTACACTTTAACATCTCTGTGTACGGCCACCACACACACAGAGGGGTCAGGGGTCAAGTAAATACCGTTCAAATACAGCGTTACAACCAGGGTGCAATTTGCAGGGGGGGGGGGGGGCAAAATTTATCCCCCCGTCAGAGCAATCAATGCTACTTCAATAGTGATTATCACAAAGGTGGCTTCATGAGAAATGATGGATGCCCACAGTGAGTGACGATGTGACTCTTATACTCTGATACTGAAGAGCACTTCTTAAACCTGGGCCCTATTTTCACATATGTTGAAATGCCTAGCAGGTGCAGAAAGATTTAAAACCGTGCAGTAGATGCTTCAGCTGTGACTGCAACCTCTTTGGTGACTGCACCCGTCAAAATGGCGTCCACAAAAAGTGCTTCTTGTTCCTGCAACAACTCGCCTCTAAGGAAATTTTAGTCGTTCGCAGCTGCCGGCTGAAGCTTCTACAGCTCAGACTCCAGGGCCGCTTGATGCAGAGATGCAGAATAAAAGATCAGCCAAACCTCTTTAAACATAATCATTAGAATCTTAAAGCTGAATTCTTTTTTGTGAAGAAATCAGAGATCCCTGCCCACCCGCCACAAGGTCGTCCATGAAAAGACTAACAGTGTTCCTCTGCTCTTGACCCTTGGAGCTGATTCCGCTGCTGCATGTGACCACCCTCTCCACCGTGGAGGATTTTGTTTTATTGATTCGGGTGGTTCGACAGCTCAAGTAACACCCATGTTATGAAACCATTTCCCGGTGCAGCCGTCTTCAGACACGCAAATTAAACTGGGTTCTCTAACTGGAGTCCAGCATCACTGAGGCACGTAAATAATGACGCAGCAGCCAAGATGAGAGCAAATGGGGGAACTTGTTTCTGAGTTGATGTCAACTGACCAGTGTGTCTGAGGCCGAGTGGAGCGTCAGGGCGGTGGGAAGGCGCGGTCCATCTGTGGGGGCGGAGACACCGAGAGGAGCTGGACAGACAGACTGACACACATACAGAATATGAGAAGGTCAGTCTACAGGTGCCCCTCTGGTCTTTGCAGCTCCATTAAAGGACTATTTGTCAACAGGGGCCAGTGCCCTTGGACCCCCCTCTGAACGAAAACGCTACAATTATCATAGTAATAAATCGTCCTTGCGACGTTACGGCGCTGATGCGAAAGGTGGAACAAACGTGCCTCAACTAGTGGGATCCTTTAGGACGTTACACCGCCGCGGTCCGGTGTCGTGCCGAGGTAGTTATCCCCAGAGACGCTTCATAAGGACTTTCTTATCCCTGATAGAAACTGTAGAAAATGTAAATGTAAGCATGCGTGCTGTCAGCAGTGAAGGCGGACTTTCGACTAAGTAAATGAAAAATATAACATGTGGATTGTTTCATCTGTCGTTTTTAGTGTTTTATCAACGAGGTTTTTGCAGAGCAAGCTGGCACACGGATTATAAGAACGCTTTTATAGGCTAACGTTAACGTTGCCGGTTATTGAACTTTGTATTATTCAATGCACTGAATTGAGAATGTCTAAATAAAACGAGCAGTAAAGCAAACATTTATTTTGCGATAGTCTAACGATGTTATAAATTGAGTTTTAATAAACTGTCGAAATTGTTCTGCGTGCCCTCCTTAAAGGGTAAATTATCATCATAACAATTTCATAATGCATTTAAACAGCACTTGTTGACCTACTGGTCCCACCCGGCTGGACATGCAGTCTGGTAAAATATGCATCCCCCTCCATAACGCACAGATGATATCCTACCATCAAGTATTTAATTTTGTGTATACTTCATATCTGGACTAATAACAGGGTGAATATGGAGAAGTTTGTTGTTTCCTAGCAAAAGTTATAGTGGGATACAAAATACAAACTGGGGTCCGGAAAATGTGTAGTACACTTACATACTGTTCATTTAGCCTCTCAAAGAAGTGTTGCATCAAAGAATGTCCTGGTACCTGGGGTAATAATGTTATTTAATAAAACTATAAGGCACTGAAAAGATCCTGTTACTGACACATACTGAAACATTATAAAATATACTAAACAAGACATTTTGAAAGCTTGAACATTGCGCCTTTGTCTCTTTTTGTGAATGTGCCCCTCTGTCAAAACAACTGGCCCCAGCGTGGCCCCCTCAATAAAACTGGTCTAGGACCGCCACTGATACCAGTCCTGCTGGAGACGTGACCCGAGCATCTACAGAGGAGGTGAATGAACTCCTTGAACGTCTCTGAAAGGGGGTTTGACCAATCAGAAAGGATAACACCGGTGCAAAGTACCTGGCCAAAAGTATGTGGACAGGGATGCCATGTATCTGTACCTGTGGGTGTGTTGTGACCTCAGCGCTCAGGACAGGGGGAGGAGGGGGAGTCGAGAAGGGGGGGACGGCCATCTGGTTTACAGCGTCTTCACTTCTACAGAGAGAGAGACACATTATTATAGATATTATCACATTTATTATTAATGTTTGTTATTTTAATAATTGGACCTTGGAGGGAGAAATGTGTTACTGAGAATGTGTTAAAAATGTAAACTTTGATTTTGCTGCAATCTGCTTTGGCAACATGTTTCAACCAAAATATTCAGTAATATATCTAAAGCACATAGAGGTGAACTCAGAGAGAGAGAACAACAAAAACACAGTTTCATTTCTTCAGTGAAGGAGTTTATTTATTAATGCAGAGCTTCACCACCTGAGGACACAGAGAGGAGCTGCAGGAGAGCTTAGAGGAGCTGAGAGGAGCTGCAGGGGAGCTGAGAGGAGCTGAGAGGAGCTGAGAGGAGCTGCAGGGGAGCTGAGAGGAGCTGAGAGGAGCTGCAGGGGAGCTGAGGGGAGCTGAGAGGAGCTGAGAGGAGCTGCAGGGGAGCTGAGAGGAGCTGAGAGGAGCTGCAGGGGAGCTGAGAGGAGCTGAGAGGAGCTGCAGGGGAGCTGCAGAGGAGCTGCAGAGGAGCTGAGAGGAGCTGAGAGGAGCTGCAGGGGAGCTGAGAGGAGCTGAGAGGAGCTGCAGGGGAGCTGAGGGGAGCTGAGAGGAGCTGAGAGGAGCTGAGAGGAGCTGTGAGGAGCTGTTTTATTTAATGAAGTGCATGACATGAATTGTTCTTGGCTCATTTATTTGGAGCTTTTGCAGTATTGTTGTTTTACGTTCTCCTGCCAGGTCAGCGAGTCTCCAGGTGTTTCAGTAAAGTAGCGCGACACCTTCAGCGTCGCAGAGCGAGCTGTGTGATCTGCGGCGGCTCAGCGTGGAGTCACCTCTGCAGCTGCCGCAGGCTACATCAGCCGCTACTGGCACTGTGGGCAAGAACGTCTCTGGTTCTGCTGCATCGATCTTGAGCCTTTTTGGTTTTAACATTCAGTCTTGAAACAGGATGTGATGTCACAGGTGTGTGTAAACAGTAAACAGCGTGAGAGCAAAGCTGCAGGCAAAGTCATTCTTCCATCTTTTCAGTTGTAATCTCTGCAGTCTAAAAAACACCTTTCAGCGGTCGTCTGGGACGCTCCTACAGGTCGACGCCACCGGACACGCCGTGGAAGCTGTGAACTTTGTCCATGCTGTGTGGGTTGTTTTCCCGCTCATTTTCACTTCCTGTGAGTTGGGTCGGACTGATAACAGGGAGTCTGACTTTGGCATCGTCAGCCGTGTTTCTGCTGAGCAATTTCATCTGTTGAAGTCCAACAAGCTGTAGCAGCGACGTGGAGAGAGGAGACAAAGACCTCCTCTCCTGCACGTCTTCTCTCCCAGCAGCTGGCGACTCACTAAGAGCTCCTGACGGGAACGTCGCTGCGATCTAAACTCACGCTAACAGTCAAAGATCAGCGACGACAACAAGCCTCCCGGGTAACGGAAACCAACAACACTTCCCCAAAGTGTGCCGACGGACAGGCAGGAGGAGGCGCTGAGGGAGCAGAGGACATCTGCTCCAGCACGACATATGGTACAAATCCACCATCAGGGCACTTTAACCCGCCGCCGTGGAGCCGTCTGAAGCTGGCTTCTTTGATCTGAGCCATCTGTGGAGCGCCAAGATTAGAACACTGCAGGGAGGTCTCAGAGTGGACGCGAGCAAGATCCCCCTGTTACTGAGACCACATCGTCATTATTGTGCTTCTAGACTCCACTTGTCAGAGATCACCTGTCAAACAGGCGCCGTTTTCCCCGTCTGTTTGGCTAACGGGTTAAAACTCTATAGCCAAATGTTTGTGGACGGCCAAACATTACAGCTCTATGTGTAAGAAACTAAAGGACCAGACATGAAAGGTAAAACCTCCATTATGTCCAGTAGCAACGTTCTTCACAATCTGTGGAAACTACAGCAGACGGTGTTAAATTAACCACGGTTAGGGTTCAGTTAGTGTGAAATAAACAATAAAGTTCTGCCCGGTGTGCACTAGAGGATTTTCAAATCTTAAAGAGGTCATATTCTGCTCATTTTCAGGTTCCTCATCTTATTTAGAGTTTGTACCAGAACAAGTTTACAGGGTTATATTTTTGTCATACTGCACGTTGCTGCAGCTCCTCTTTTCAGCCTGTGTTGAAGGCTTCGTTTTTACATGCACAAAAAGGCATTTAACTCAATAAAGGAGAGGGAAAAGCCAAAAAGCAGAATACCGCCTCTTTAACTGACTTCAAAACACAGACATAACAACAGAATATTTAATAATTTTGACATAAAATGGTCATTCAAAGAATTTCCCCTCGGGGATCAATAAAGTCTTTCTGATTCTGCTCATTTTCAGGTTCATAATGTTATGTAGGGGTTCCACCAGAACACGTTTACATGGTTTAATGTTTGAAAAACAACAAAATTGCTGCAGCTCCTCTTTTGCAAAGAACGGACTTGTGTTCTTGGGGAGAACGTTCTTGCCAGTGGTTCTTGGAGGAATGAACTTGCAATGCCACGAGCACGCAGAACGCTGCTGACGGTTTGAGACGATGCGTTCTTGCTGGTATTGTGCAATAACCCCAGGACGCCTGCAGAGCTCCAATACAACAGCCAGGCTTTACCATCCAAAACAAAAAGCTCAGAATCGGGTTTATTGGCAAGTAGGTTTTAACTTACAAAGTATATTGGTGGATGAGTAAGAATGATATGAAATAAAAGCAAATACAAAGCAAGTACTGTAACCGCGACTTTACATTGTCTAATACATACAACTCATTCAACGTCATTACTCAGAATGTAATGACAGAAAAACAGCTCACAGCTGTGGTGATGCATCCTGGGTAAAAACGGGCGTGTCAAGAACACTTCTGGGAATTTTAACCGTTATTGACAAAATGCAAATGTGTGTATTGAAACAGTACTTGGGCACAAAAGATGACGTTTCACAAGAACACCAGAACGAAAAGGCCCCGCGTTCCTGAACCAGCTTCACGACCTCGACACGTTCGTCTTTCACAACGTTTGTTCAGGAGCGGAGTTTTCTGT